AGACTTCCAAACCCCTCTTGCCCATACTGGAGCTTGCATACTGCCTGTTTATAGTCTATTTCAATAAATTCTTTGTCTTTTTGCGCCTTTTGTGAATTCTTTTACCACTGTATCACTAACCATTACACATGGTATCCCCGACCTGCCCCTGTCCCCAGTCCATAAATAAGTTTTCTTCTTATGCCTCCCTGTGGACTAATGTTTACCCTGAAAGTACTGGGGCAAAGGCAGGTCCAGGACTAGGTCTTGGAAAGAAATACAGCTGGCAATTAGTAGCCTCAGGAAATGTTTCAGGACCCCCAGTTTCCCCCAATCCACAGATACTCAAGCCCCTATAAGAAGATATACATAGTGTTTGTAGAAACTATATTCATCCTCCTGAATATTTAATCATCTCTAGATTACTGACTATACCAAACACAATATAAATGCTATGTAAATAGTTGCTCTACTATATTGCTTAGGGAGACATGACAAGACAAAGTTTTCACAAATATAACAGAAAATTATAGATATTTTCAAGAGCCAGGTCTGGAGGCACAGGCCTATAATCTCTGCATCTAGGGGGCAGAAGTAGGAGGATCACGAATTTCAGGTCAGCCTGGGCTACAAAGGGAAACCTAGTCTTAGAAGGGCAGCCATCCTCCTGACCCTGCCTCCCTCAGTGCTGGGGTTCCAGGTGCCTGTGATCACCCTTGACTTTATCTAAAGGTGTCAGGATCCAAACTCAGGTCCTCATGCCTGGGCAGCAAGTGCTCTCACCCTAGTCAAGAAAAACAACCTCTGCCTAAAACGAAGTCAGTCAATCAACCAACCATTTACTTTTTTTTTTTCTTTCAATTGTTGAATCCTTGGAGGTTGATGCCATGGACACAGAGACCAGTTGTACTCTGGTCTCATTAGTGAGTGTTATGTGCTATTCAGGGCTCGAAGATGGTTGCTGTGGCATACACCCTTAATCCCAGCCTTTGGGATGCAAAGCAGGTGGATCTCTGTGAGTTCAAGGCCAGCCTGGTCTACATAACAAGACACTGTTTCAAAAAGGAAAGAAAGAAAAGGAGGATTGTACATTAGAGGAGTTAGAAGAACCCCAGAGGGATAGAACCTCAAGGAAGGTGATGACTGATGACGTCAAACACCAGAGAGAGAGTGAGAGCAAGAGCAAGAGTGAGAGAGAGCTGGTGGAGTGTTCATTAGGCTTAGCGAGGTATTGATGCACTATGCAGTGTCCAAGGGCAGTGCATCCCAACGGCAAGTGATAGAGGAGCATCAGCAAGTGAGGCTGCTGTGCCAAGCTCCCCACAGGGCTCCTCATACATGGCACACACAGCTGGAACATGCCTGCGCAGCAGTCCCAACAAGTATTGCCTGGCCTTTGCCTGTTCTTATTTTTTATTTTTTAAAATATTTTATTTATTATTTTTATGTGTATGAGTGTATTGCGTGTATGTAGGTCAGTGCACCCGTGTCCTGCAATGCCCGAGGACAGAAGAGGCTGTCAGATCCTCTTGAACTGGAGTTACGGACAGTTGTTAGCTGCCATGCGGGTGCTGGAATTCGAACCCGGGTCTTCTGCAAGAACAACCAGTGTTCTTAACTGCTGAGCCATCTCTCCAGCCCCAATAAATAAATTTTTTACATTATTTACTTATTTTTAATATTTTGGTTATAATTTTTATTTTATCACAATCCCCTGTAACTCCAGCTAATGTAAAGTTTTTTTTTTACTTTATTTTTAATATTTTAGCTATTATTTTTATTTTATGTGTATGAATGTATTGCCTGCATGTACATAACTGCATCTGTGTCATGCAATGTCCTCAGAGGTCAGAAGAGGGCATTGGAGCCCCTGGAACTGAAGCTATGGATGGTCGTTAGCCATCATGTGGGTGCTGGGAATCAAACCTGGGTCCTCTGCAAGAGTAGCCATTGCTTCCAACCGCTGAGTCATCCCAGTCCCATAATTTTTTTTTAAAGAAAAGGAATTTGTAATTTGTGTGTGTGGTATGTGTGCATGCACCTGTAAGCACACACAAAGGCCAAAGGGGGAGGTCGGGCATCTTGCTGTATCATTCTCACGGCCTTATTCCTTTGAGACAGGGTCTTTCACTGAACCTGGAGCTAGGCTGATGGCCAGCAAGCCCCAGCTACCCTCTTGTCTCTGCCTCCCACAATGCTGGAGTTCCAGGTGCCTGTGATTATCCTTGGTTTTATCTGAGGGTGTTGGGATTTGAACTCAGGTTCATGCTGAGGCACCCAGGGCTCTTACCCACTGAGCTATCTTTCTAGCCCTCAAGTATCCCTTTTCCTCCACCTCTGTCCGGGGCTTACTGAATGGCAGTCAGAAGCTCTACCACCAAACCACATCCTCATTGGTCCAAGTATCTAACTTTTTAACAAAGTGTATACTAAGCTATTTCCCTGGTAAACTGCAATTATTTACTAATAAATGACAGCTACAGCACACTGTGCTGGGCTTGAGGCTCACTCAAAGGTGACAGAAAAGCAGCAAGGCCACAGTGAACAAATTTAGTACCTTGCCTTTGGCTCTTTAGCCTGGACCAGATTTTAAAGAAGGATGAGGAAGAAATAAAAAAATCTTCTTCCTTCAGTAAGTGTTTATAGGTTGTTTTCTTCTAGTTTGCTTTGGAATTAGGTAGACACCAAAGGATTACAGCAGGCTGGCCTGGAAGCAGGTAGATTTTTCTGCAAACTGAAGCAACAGTTTGTCACTAACAATCAGGCATGTGTTCCTAGGAGCCACACTGGGAGGAGGGTGTCTAGGAGACCAGACATTCCACTGTGTTTTGATTTGTCAACAAGTCATTTCTACCTCACACATGGCCCCATAGAGACATCACCCAGATAGATTTTGGATTTCAGTCAACTGTTGCAATGGTCAGATGTGAGGCTTTAATTCCTCCTACTCTGAGGCAAACTGATGATTGAATAGTGAGCTCTGATCATCCTTAAACCTCAGCCCACCCACTCCTCAGTGCTCCACAGGCACCTGAGAATGAGTGTGTTTGTATATTCTTTGGGAAAAGGATCAGAAAGATATACTCCAAACTGTTCACAGTCCTCACCATCTGTGAATGGGGCTGTGGGATACCAGGTGCTTGAAGAAAGGGAAGAAAACCGTGAAAGAACCAAGGACTCTGTCCTGGAGTTTGAAAGCGTTAGTAGAGGCAGGGGCCATATCCAGCTGTGATAGTGGCAGAAGGAAACCTCCAAAGCTGCTGGGGAAGGGCTTCCTGGTGGCAGGTGGAATTAAAACCTGGTGAAAAGTAAGCCACTCTTGTGCTGTGAGGCGGACCCTGCTTTCCCTTCCCATTTGAACACTAAAGTTCCCGCCATGCAGCTTTGCCACTGTCAGCTAGAATGAAGTGCTGTTTTGGAGTCTTTATAAACTTCTTTCCCCCAATAGTCAAGCTGTTTGAAGAGAAAGAGGATACCATCCAGAAAGGCCACCCTTTCCATTTTGTAGCTATGTTTTGAACCTTGAGAACTGGCACACAGCTCCCTTTATGACCCTGACTCTCAAGCTCCTAGAGCGCCCTAGTTTTGTGACCAGAATCCTCCTTCTACCACATTTCCATGCAAGAGACACAGTGGGGACCCATCACCACAGAAAACCTGCTTTTTTTTTTTTTTTTTTTTTTTTTTTTTTTTTTGTCTTTTTGAGACAGGGTCTCCCTGTAGCCCCAGCTGTCCTGGAACTCACCATGTAGACCAGGCTGGCCTCGAACTTAAGAGAGATCTGCCTGCCCCTGCCTCCTGAGTGCTCAGGTTAAAGGCCTGCAGCACCACACCCAGTGAAAACCTGCATTTTAAATTTAAAGCACAGCAAAGCTTCTCTGTCCTTGTTTAAGTATTTCCATCATCTTTAGAGAGCCAAAAATATTCCCTGTTAAATGTTCATTTTAAAGGTGCTGCCTTGCACCTGGGTATGGTGGTGCACGGCTGAAATCCTAGCACTCAAGAAGCTGAGGCAGTAGGACTGTGAGTTTGAGACCAGCCTGGACTACATGGGATTCTAAGCTAGGCTGGGCCATAGTGAAACCCTCCCTGTCAGTCTCTTTCAGTCTCTGTCTCTCACACACACCCCTCAGCCTCACTATGTCTAGGATTTTGCCAAGAACTGGATTTTTCTATCAGTTTATGGAGATAAACCGAAGGGGAGTGATGCGGCCCCTTGAAGCAGAAGCCTGGGCATTGGATTGACTGGGAACTTCACTCCAAACAGCCCCTCACAAACCGGTCTGATCCAGGAGTCTCTGAACCCAGCCCCCAGCCAGAAGCCTGGAGCGGCAAAGGACTTAAGCCTGGGCCCTCCCCTCGGCCCGGCCCTGTCTTTGCTGCCCACCACCGACACTCTGGGGATCCCAGGGTCTGATCTGCACCTGTGGCTGCAGGAGTTGCAAGGGACGCGGCCACGCCCCCCATCCCCCTTCACCGCTGTCACCTGTTTCGCAGACTCCCACGCGCCTCTGGAGCGCCCCACCAGGCACCTGCGGCTGGCTGGAGGAGGAAACTCAGTAGTGGGAATGCCGGGGGCACGGGGACCCGCCCCGGGGTGCACAGGTGCAGGGGGCCGCGGCCGAGGCCTCGGGGACTGGGGACCAAGGGGATGCCAGAGCGAAGGGGAGCTAGGGCTCCCGAGAACTTGGGGTAGAGGAACCCGGGGACTGGAGGCGACCGGGGTACGGAGCGAAGAGTTAGTATGGGCTCAGGGGGACTGGAGGCTAGAGTGGGGTGCTTAGGGCGAAGGGTGACTCGAGGTTCAGGGAGACGCCGGGAGCAGGGGGACTGGAAAAGAGTGGGGTACGTGGCGACTCTGGGCACGGGGGGAACGCGGGGCGCAAGGGACTGGAGGAAAATGGGGTACGTGGAGCTCAGGGAGATTGGAGGAGAGTGGAGTACAAGGGCGCAGGGTGACGGGCGCAGGGGTCTGGAAGAGAGTGGGTGACTGGGAGGCATGGGACGCGAACCGCACTTGCCTGATGAGGGCTCCCGCGTAGTCCCTGGCAGTCTCCATCGTTGCTGGGGGCCACCGGCGCGCCGCGTGTCCCTGCGCCGCGCCTATTAAAGCCTTGCTCTGCCGGCTCCGCCCAGCAGCGACGTGACCCGGGCCCGCCAGGACCTTGGCGACAGGCTTTGCGCCAGCCAGCTGGGTTCTGCCTCCTACGCCCCGATCCTGGCCCACGCCCCTTCCTTGTGGAGAACCATACTAGGGGTCCTGGAGCCCCGGATTTGACTGGGGGTGGGGCTCAGTAGACGCTTAGCCAGCTTGTCTTGCTCCTCCGGAGGTCTGGCACTGGTGACATCACGGGTGCCGGCAGGACACACACACACATAGACACACAGTCACACAGACACGGACTCATAGAGACCAGGCACAGAGACACACAGAGAGACACAGACAGACCAGAACACACACACACACACACAGATACGCACACAAACATACACGGACACAGACAGACAGATACACAGATACTGATTTAGAACCCCAGCACAGCACAGGTGGACCGAGCTGGGTGTCGCGCCTGCTGTCCCCGGGGCTGGAGTCCTGGGTTCCACTCCAGGCTGGGCAGCGGCCCAGCTGTGGAGGAGGAGGCTGTCATGGACATGCGGACACAGCCTTTCGAATTCTCGGAGGTGCCCAGGCCCCCCTGTAGGTGAGCAGTACTCACTGCTGCACCTCGGCCTTTGGGGACCATAAGAAGGAGCGTCCCAGTGGAGGGAGTGAAGGAACCGTTCATTTGATGTAGACTAGGGAGAGTTGGAAGGAAAGAGCAAAGAGGGGTTTTTGTGTACACCTCATGTGAGTCCCTCAGTAGCACGGGCTGGCCAATGCCTGGGAGAGGGAGGGAGTGGGTGGGGATTCACTAGAGCGCTCCTCTACATATTGAAGTAGAGGTCCCTCAGGCCTGCTGGTAGTTCTAGCTCTCTGGAACAGGGCTGTTGCTAGAACCTCCTCTCTGCCCACCTTCAGCCAACGGCTGGACCAGGAGCCCATGATCATCAACCCTCTACCTCATTCCATGTCAAAAGAGCAAAAACATCTCCTTTCAGGTCTTTGGTGCCTACAAACCTCACCTGATCTGCCAGAACTTAGAAGTCAAAAGCAACTTCTGGTGACCATCCAGCCGGAGGCTCACTGAAGGGCCTTTCCTGCCCAGACCTATGGGGCTGGACTGGCTAGACAAAGCCATCCGAGGTCATTAGCTGCCCTTCCCACAGACACAGAGACCTGGGAGATAAGAAAATAGGACCAATCAACTCAGATCACCTTTACAAAAGTGTCTCACTGTAGAGAAATTCTGATACCAGACATATGGCAGGAACACAACAATGAGCATCTGCCCAGATCAGGTTCAGCGCCCTGGCCATTCTCATATATTTGAACATCTTCAGATTAAATCCTTAAACTTGCATTAAAAACAACAACAACAAAAAAGGCCTCTCAAGGCTGGAGAGGTGGCTCAGGGCTTGCTGGCCACCAGCTTAGCTTCAGGTTCAGTGACAGACCCTGAATCAGAATGAGGTGGCAGTGACAGAGCAGAACACACCCCTAGTGGCCTCCATGTGCACAGGGCAGGACACCCGCGTGCGCACGCGCGCGCGCACACACACACACAATGGATGGAGGAGCCCTACCCTACCCCCCTCACTGCTAAGCTAGATGCCACTGATAGGTCCAAGGAGAGGGAGAATGATTGCTTTCACTTTTGACCCCATCAAGCTCCAATGGATAGTTCTGATCCAGTGGTCACACAGCTGGCCCTGGTTAAACTAAAATGGTTCACAAAAGTAACCCAAAAGACATGAATCTGGGAACAGATTGGTAGGAGAGGGGTTGACAGGGATGAGGAGAGAAGAGAGGACAGGGAAACAAGAGTAATCAGAATACATTATATATGTGTGAGATTGTCAAATACCAAAAGTAATCAATGAAAACTATGAAAAAAAGTTTCCAAGGATAACCGAGGAATTCTCTGAACAAAAATGATGTCTTAGCCAGGTGTGATGGCACATACCTCTAATTCCAGTACTGAGGCGGCAGAGGCAGGTGGATCCCAGCTGGGACTACAGGGAGACCCTGTTTTTTAAAAAAAAAAAAAAAAGATGTCTTAGTAGCATTTAAGAGTCTACAGGCAGTTCCCTAATGATTCCAGCTAACTGATCTGATTCACTGTGAGGCACCTGTTCATGTGCTTGGGGGTAAGAGAGTCTGGAGCAGTCAAGATCAGGGAGATTCTCACACACCAGTAACCAATCAGGCAATCTCTGGGGCCTAGAGAGTCTTTGACTCCGAAGGTCTTTAGGATAGACTTGTAAGTAAATGGGTGAATGAATGAAGTGCCATGTAATATCTGAATGCAAGCTGTAAAAAGGAAGTGAGGAATTCTGTCCTCTGGCATGGGAGTGGTTACAAGGGTGAAGGAGCTAGAGGTGGGGGAAGAGATGGGGGTGGGGAGTTGGCGTGGGGAAGGAGCTGGAGGCTGCGGAGGCAGCAAGACTGGTCTGCGCACTTTTATGCAGAGTAGAAGCCCTGAGGGACATCAGTGGCCTGAAAAGCTGTTCTGGGCAGGTTGGTGTGGGTCCTAGGAAAGAGGTGGGGATCAGTTAGGGCAGCCACGTGGGAGCCGGAGGCACAGGGTGGAGAGGCTACCTTGGCCTTGCTCTCTAGGGAGATCCTGCAGAGGAGGGAGTGACCTGCTCAGACCTGAACTTGAGAAAGACAGTGGGGTGGGGACAAGGAGTCTGGAAGGAGTAGGGGAGGTCCAAATAAAAGATGCCAAGGGTCATGCCGGGTGCTGGCAGTGGGCGTGGACAGGAGAGCTGGGGGCATTTCAAGGATGTGATAACAAAGGGGAGCCACTGAAAGGTCCCTGGTATTTTTAGTGTGGGTGACTGGAGAGACAGCCATGCCCTGACAGATGAGGACAGGAGGGTGCGTTGGGACTGGAGTGGGGGTTGTGCTGAAGTCTGTCCTGGCAAGCAGTGGTGGTGGCCCTGGCTGTGTGGCCTGCTGTTCAGGAGAGGTCCTTGCTGGAAGTAAAGGTCATGTAACTTTTCACCTAGTGGGTGCGTTATGAAGAACATAGGTACCTGAGGCACAGAGAAATTCCATGTATTTGGTAACTGACTGAATAATAAAAATAAATTCAGAGTCTGACTCCCACCTTGATACCTTTAAATTCTGTGGCTAGAGGAAAGCTTTTTTTCTTTATTTGAATTCATTTCCTTTTTTTTTTTTTTTTTTTTTTTTTTGAGACAGGGTCTCCCTCTAGCCCCAGCTGGCCTGGAACTTGCTATGTAGACCAGGCTGGCCTTGAACTCACAGAGATCCGTCTACCTCTGCTTCCTGAGTGCTGAGATTAAAGGCATACACCACCACGCCCAGCCCCATTCTTTATTTCTAATCATTTATGATGAGGATGAAATAATCAAAATACAAATTTCATGCGTGTATGAAAATGTCACAATGAAACACACTATTTTGCGCAATTAATGTATGGTAATAAAAATGACATTATAAACATCATAATCCCTGATGATATGTATTCCTTCTCATTCTTGGTGAGTTACAGTTAGGGTCAAGTGAGATGATGCTTTGAATACAATGTCGATAGTCCAACACTAGTAAACGGTAGGCCATGTTATAGTGCTTAGGAAGATAAGCTCTGGAAAGAGATGAACTCAAATGCTGTTGAACATAGAACTAGGGCTTCCTCAGCAGCAGCACCAGGAAGATAATTTCAGTCTGTTCTAATATTTGCCATACTCCTACTTCCATATTGCCTGCCACCTTGCTATTTGGAAAACAGTTCTATATAGGTATCATATTACAGTGTAAATGATTGCTATTCCCCTCAGCAAACCTTTACTGACTGTCATACTAGTTATTTCTCAATTCATTCTCAGTTCTTCTCTGCCTGGCCTGTGGTCTAGGAGGTTGGCCCAGGAGTCTGTACTAGAGGGCTTTTACCCCAATAAAAATTCTAATTGGTTTTATTTATGGAATGCACTGGTGGACATTTAAAAAATGGGGCCAGAGAGCTGATTCAGTGGTTAAGACACTGGCTGCTCTTGCAACCTGGGTTCAACCCCACATGGTGGTCCATAACCATTTGTAACTCCAGTTTAAGGGGATCCAACATCCTCTTCTGGCCTCCTTGGGCACTAGGCAAGTACATGGTGCACTTACATACATGCAGGCAAACACTCATACATAAAATGAAAATATTTAAAAAACCCAACTATATTGCAGAATAATATATACATGGTAGAACACACAGATCTATGTGATACAGCTCAGAAATTTTATTTTTTAAATTTATTTTTATTTTATATATATGAGTGTCTTGCCTGCATGTGTATAAGTGTACCTGTGTTGTGCAATGTCTACTGGAACTGGAATTATAGGTGGTTGTTAGGCACGATGTGGGTGCTGGGAATCAAACATGGGTCCTCTGAAGGAGCAGTCAGTGCTCTTAACCTCTGACCCAACTCTCCAGCCCAGAAATTTTATTTTTATAAACATATTATGGCAAAGAATATTTGCAGGACTTACTAGGCAAATCTTGTCTCTTCTAGGTAGTACCAAATCCCTGTGTTCATAGGAGAAGACATAATCACAATGATTTGTTTTGAATGCTCTCTTTTGGAGGTAGGGTCTCCCTATGTTGTTCAAATTGGCTTTGTACTCCCAGGCTCAAGTAATCCTGCCTTAGCCTCCCTAGTCACTGGGACTATGGGCATGTGCCTCTACACCCATCTTTGTTTTGTGTATTGTTTACATTTTTTTCTTTTTCCTTAAAAAGGATTTATTTCTGGGCTAGAGAGATGGCTCAGTGGTTAAGAGCACTGGCTGCTCTTGCAGAGGACCCAGGTTCAGTTCCCAGCACCCACATGGTGGCTAACAACTGTCCATAACTCCAGTTCTAAGAGATCCAATGCCCTCCACTGGCATTGCACAACACAAGTACTCTTACATACATGCAGGCAATACACTCATACACATAAATACAAATAATTAAAAAATTTAAAAAAGATTTATTTCAGTTGTGTGCATGTGTGACAGTGTGTGCACATGACTAAAGATGTGTCCCAGAGGCCAGAGGCATCAAATCCCCCTGGAATTGGAGTTACAGATGGTTGGAAGCT